TATATATATATATATATATATATATATATATATATATATATATATTACATTTGTATTTATTATATGTATTATATTTATTATATGTATTACATTATATGTATTACATTTTATTATATGTGTTACATTTGTATTTATTATTTACACAAAAAGCACTTGGTGTAGCCAAGGCAAACGGTTCTCTTATTTTAATGACTATCAAAATATTATATTGATTATTGATGTAATATTTAAAAAAAGCACGCCAAGTGCTTTTTGTGTAAATTATTATAATTTTTTTCAATATTATTGTATTTCTATAATTATTTTATTTTTTATTTAATAATATATTACTAATATATTAATAATATATTTAATTTATAAATATATTATATAGCCAAAACCACACATGTTTATGAAAGTAAAACTGAAATAATTAATCATTCACAATTGACGTAAACCTCTTGATATCATTAATTTTATATAACGTATAAAATTGTCTTGTATTTTTAAAGTATTCGCGAGAGTACAATTGATCTGAAGTACAATTGAATTGAATTGATAAGGTTGTTTTAATAATACTTTTTTAAATATCTTTCAGCTGAATTTTTGTTGTAATTTATTTATAACAATTTTTTTTGTAAAGACAAATAACGCTAAGGCGCGAGCACTTGGCTTCTTTTTTTATTTTTTTTTTAATAATTTTATTTTTATCTTTTTTTATAAAATAATATTAAACACTGGAAACGAGTTTTTTTGTTAATAACATTATACGTTGCACTTGGACATTTTAAGGTGTACATAAAAAGCAGGTTCTTTAAATTTTATTTCAGAATAATTCATTTTTGAAAAAAATGTCTGTCTCTCCGTCTCTATCTCTTTGTCTCTTTCTTTCCTCTTCTGTCTCTCTTTTATTATTATTTATTTTTTATTTATTTATTTATTATTTTATTTTTTATTTTTGTATTTACGTTATGATATTTAATTATATTATATTATATTATATTATATTTTATTATTTATTTCTTAATATTTTTTATTTATTTATTTATTATTTTATTATTTATATTCCGATGTCTATACCAGAGCTCGGAATTAGTTGCCTTTTTCGACCGATTCTCGAGAGCTACGCCCTCTATCTTCTTCTTGCCGCGAGCGGGTCCTGCAAGTGACGGTCGCGGCCAGTCGTGGCTTCAACCTTGGAGTTGCAACCGTCACTTGCGACGCCCGTTCGCGGCAAGGAGAAGATAGAAGGCATAGCTCCCGAGAATCGGCAAAAATGGACAACTAATTCCGAGCTCTGGTCTATACGAGTATAACCTATTTAATTTAACCCTTTGGGGACGGAGCCGCTCGACGGGCTATAAGGAAGATAAGACTTCATCGCTAATGGCCCCTAATGTCTTTGAATGAAAACGTGACTCTTTTACTATACCTATGCGTATCTTATCGCTCAGAACGACAGACGTCGCGAGCCTTGCAGCTACGAACTAATTTGGGCGGCTATATGCCGACACGCGTCCGGAACGGTAAAACGGCTTGGGCGGCTATATGCCGACACTCGTCCCCAAAGGGTTAATAAATTACGAGTCGGTAAATCGATAATCATAATATATATCTCCTTTTTTCTTTTTCACTTTTTTATTCTCGCCATATTTATTTTTATTTGTTTTTTTTTTCTAATAGTTCAATATTTACTGCATTTAGCTCTCTTTCTCCGTTTCTCCCCCTTTCTCTTTCTCCCCGTTTCTCTTTCTCCTCTCTCCCAATTTATTTTATTATAAGTAGAATTAGATGTTATTTTAGTATACAATAGACTCACCAATTTAATAAGACGGAATATTCGAATAATATTTTGATAGAATACGAATTTAATTTCTTTTCTGTATTCACTCTTACAAAGTGTAGCTAAAAGCCTTAGAGTAATAAAAACAAATGTACCTATAGTAAAAAATATTTTTTTACGTAAGAAAATATAATTTTTTTTAAATATAATATTTTAATCGAAATTAATATTGACTTTATTTAGAAAAATGTTTTGTTATATTAAATAAATTACTGATTAAATCAAATAAAAAGTTATTACATCAAAATTATATTAAAACCCTACAAACAAAATTATTTTACTTCAACTAAAAAAATAAATATCGGGAAGAGGTGCTATGAAAGAGATGTGTGAAGAAAAGGACATTGCAATTATTAGAAAGATGAAACGTATTCGAACAAATATATTTTAATATTGTGTCAACACTGACATATGATTAATCGCGCCTAATATTGTCATTTTATATATGACAACGATACCAGCTGAGTTTTTTCGTATGTCAAAGATAAATATGAAGTGATTTTAAGAAGCGTTTTATTAGGTACTATTAATATTGTTGAATTCATATAAATAAATATATATCGATCAAAAAATAATTACATAGGATTATAGATAACATTTATTTAATATTACACCTATAGAGGTTATATTTATTATTTCGACATTATATTTTTTAAAGAGACACAATAAAAATGTTGAAATCCTTTTCAACATTTATAAAAATAAATATTCAGATAATGTTGAAGATTGGTATTAATATAAGATTTGTCAGAACAGGGCATACGAATCGTGCGGTATAAAAGAGGTTCTTAATTTTCTTTTTCATTTTGCCATTAGGTAATTGTGATTAAAATACCTAATTAATAAGTTAAACTAAATCAAACTTTCTGTAATTTTATATTAATTTGATTATTTTTATGGATTATTTTTTGTTTTATTAATTATTAAAGAACTCTATATTCTTCTTTTACTCATAATGTCACTAATTTATACTGATTTTATTCATAATGTCTCTAGTTTAATTGATTATTATAATTAATAAGCGATACTGAACCTGATATCTGTAATATCTTTAAGTTTTCATTAATGTTACTTTTATTATCATCTTTTTTGTTAATTATTTGAGAATTTCCTTTATTTTAGCATACTGTCTCTTTTATAAAATTCAATAATCTTTTCAATACAGTCAAAAGTAAAAGATAATACATGTAGAACTGGTGATAAGATTGATAGCATAGCCGATTATTATTGTTCGATAATTCTCGTTTCTAAAATGACTAATGAAGACTAATATCCTTTAGTTTATGTCTTAATTTATTTTAAACAAAAATGCCCCTTTTATGTCATCTCTCTCCTATTAAAGTTTTTCTTTAATTAAAAATTTCTTTTTTAGTTAAGCAGCTTGAAACAAAGCAATTTATTTTTGTTTAAAACAATTCTATTTCTTTAATTGAATAAACAATATAGTTGATATTTTTATCGATACCGGAGTATATATTATTTTCTTATTAAGTTTAAAATTTTCTTAAAAAAATTTATGCTTCTTTTTTATACACATTGTTATTTCGTGCCTTAAATATATTTATTCAAATGAATAATTATTTTGAAAGTATTAAAAAAATCTTTTTCTTTAATTAAATAAAAATTTTTTAAAATTTACTATATTTTTTCTCAGAGTACCTATTTTAGTATTTAACTAATACAATTATGTATTTATAGTAATATATTTATGTTAAATATTTTATTATAAATGAATAAAAAGTTGGTTCATAGAATCGACTAAAATGGAACGCGATATCGAGATAAGACTCGACCCAGGATATCACAAAGAGTTAAGGCCCATCCAGACAATAATACATATACATAAAGAAATCAACCAATCATGACCCGTGTGGCAAAAGGATGTCCTTTACATTAGACATGTTATTGATCGAGTTCCTTGTGCATATGCATTATATGACTACGCAAAAGTTTATCCGCATGAGCTTTTACGCAGTGTGTGAGTAATTCCGGGAGAGCAAACGCATGGCTCTAGCTCAGTTCTGGAAAACGGACTCGAGTAACCCGACACGCGGTCGTGTATGCGCGCACACCGGGGAGTAGAGTGTTTTCTCAGAGCGTCACGCACGATCGCCGTCAAAGGTGTGAGTCAGATTATGAAAATGTATCGAGCGCGCCGACGTTATTTGAGCAAACGTTTAAAGCGCGAACAACACGCGTCGGGTAAATTCACTCGGACAGGAGTCGCGCGGATGACTCGGTGCGATTACGACCGTGTAATGACACGTTTGCGTACCTCCTCGCTCCTACGCAGCCACTGCAGCACAGATGAATGAATCTTCGATGAACAGAACGTAAATCTTCCTAGAAGCGATCCATAATGCATCTCTGCGTATTGCTATCTCAATCAGTCCGCATGAATCTACCGATTGCGCACGCGGGACGCGGTGCGTTCTCAAAGTGTTTGTAAGGGAAAGAGTGAGTGTTCCTCTTACAGCAAAAAAATTTCTGGAACATTTCAGGAATATTTTTTTGTAAAATTGAAATATTGTATTATATATTTCTGAAGGATTGCAACAATATTCCGCTTTTGAACAATATTTTTCAATATTTTTACAATGTTTTTGAAATATTTTAAGAAATGTTGTAAATATATTTCTGAAATCTCTTAATGCAATATGTTTTAAGAATATTGCAGAAGAGTTACTTGTATTTAAATTATATTTCACCAACTGAGAAAGTGGTAAGATAATTTATACAACTTCCTATTCCATATAGAATGTATCAAAAAGTACTTTTGTACTTAAAGGCACATTTAGAATAACAGTAAAGATAAGTACATTTATAATTAATATTATATTGATACATATGTATATAAACCATATATATCAAATATATATTTTTGCAATATTTCTGGAATAGCAAAAATATTAAAAAATATGATGTCAAAATAACATTGTAACAATATTCTGCAACATTTCCTCTCTCTCTCTTTCTCTATACAATATTACAATTACTATATATATAATCAATATAATAATTATAATAATTACTATATATATAATCAATATAATAATTATAATATTAATTAGTCTCAAATTGTAGTATTTAAAATTTTTTTTATACCAGAAATACATTGTCTTTCTTCTATAGCCTATTTCTCTGGTGTATCAGTATTACTACCCTACATTTTTGTCTAGTAAATCTTCTTTTATTTTTATCTTTTGCTGCTTCTATAATAACGATTTGATTTCTTTTGGTAAACGTAATGCCTTGTTTGTCTACATTTTTAAATTTCCACAAACATTATCATCTGTATCGATAACATGTTACAATCGATAACATGTTACACCATTTTCATTATTACAATTGCGATCACCACAAACTGTTTTCAACACATATCCTTCCATCACATTTATTTATAAATATTATTTAATATCAACTCATCCCATATACAAGTTTAATAAATATGTATTTAAATGCAGCAAAGTCTATTTTTGAATGAGTGTTATGACTCGAGTAAATTTTTTTGAGACTGAAAATTATTAATATATCTCTTCTAAAATCAAGCTCCATAATTCAGCAAATATGTAATAATATATATGTAATAATACATATGTAATAAACAATTTCTATTTTATAGGTACATAAATTACGTATCAATAAGGTTTTCAAACAGTAATAATAATGATTTAGTTCTTTTACACATATTTCACCACTAAACTAACTGTTTCAATTGACACCCCATTACAATTGACTCTCCCCTACAAGTATGTACGATAAGTATGTTTACTTGTGTGCGTATATGTGTGTACATTTAGACACGTCTGTTGCAATTCTTTTCATTTAAATAATTACTAATTGAGATATTTATATTCTAATTTACCTGAACTCTTTTTCATCACGCTTGGTTTGATATAACATCTTTAGAATACGGAGCTTTCTCATTGCAAACTAAATGTGTATTCCCCGCGAAATATCGCTGATGCACCGTGTACAGTCAGTGGAAAAAAGGTTGCGATACTTTTGCCTCGATGAATTTCAGAATATGTTCGATGTCCAATAGGAGAAATTGTTTTTTAGCAATTCTCAGAAGATAAATTTCTTATTAAATATTAGACGTGTTCCGAAAATCAATTCAAGTAAAAGCGATGCAACTTTTCTTCACTGACTGTATACTTAATTTCAAAACAGTTTGCATATTTTTTTTTCAATATAGTTCGAAATGCGGCCGACAATTTCAACAAGAAAACTTCTAGGAATTAATCACAAACATGTTGTTTCATAAACAGAGTTGATTAAGTTAATTTCTTTTTAACTAAATTAAGTTTAAAATTAATTACTTATAAAATTAACTTAGTTAAATCAAAAGTTATACAAACAAAAATTAATTTAATTAAAAATTAAGTCAAGATTACGTTAACTAGTTGAATTCAACATTATTTAAAGTAATATATGTTTTTCACGTAAGTGATTTTTTAATTGAAAATGCAATTTAATGAAATAATGAGAAGTAGTCTTTTATAGTATTATCGATTATTTTGATTACTTAGGATTCAAAAATAGAACACTGTTCAGTCAGTATATACAAAATTACATAATAACAAAATTCTTTCATTAATTTATATTTTTTTGTTCTATATGCAAGGAGCTCGTGATGATTTTAATATTGATAAGAATTATTATTTCAACATTAGTTAACTTATATAAAAATTAACTTTTATAAAAGAAAAGTTAAAGCTTATGAGTTTTAATATAACTACCCTTATAGAAATATCATACTAAGAATCATTGATAATTACTTATTATCCAGTATTTTTAATACGGATAATAAGTAATTATCAATGATTCTTAGTATGATATTTCTATAAGGGTAGTTTAAGTTACAAACTGACTCATTAAAATTAACTAACTTAACTTGTTAACTTTTGCTAGCTTGTAATTAATTAAGTAATTATTATCCAATCCTATTCCATTAAATCGTCGGTTTCTAAGTTGCATCGAGAAAGAAAAGTGTAAGAAACATTTTGAAACAAAATGTATTCGTATGTGCATGCATACATTGTCCGTCGTTATTTTATCATGGAGAAAAGTAGGGAAATTAATGGCGTCGCGCGCAAACACATGCAACTTTGACAGCTCGTCAACAATAGCGCTGTGTGTCATCCGTGGCCTTACTCAATATCAGAAGAGGATAAGCGTGCGTTATCGGCACCATGCCGATCTAATTCGCTGGGTGCGTTGCCACGTAATATTTATAGCTTCGTTCGGTAACGTATTCCGCGGACACGTGCGCGCGTGAGTAACAAGTTTACACACGGCGGATATTGCGTGCCCGTGGACGCGCGAGACATACGAGCCGCATTGACCACTTGATCTACTCGTACGATAAACAGTAGAATTCCGATATTGCTCGAAGAACATGCGCGGAAACATTCTTAGCTGATCCACTTGCGACACACGTCAGCGATGTCCGTGTTCGCGTGTCGTGTCGTGTCGAATGAAACTATAAACAAACAAACGATTTAAATTATAAACGTCATAGATCGGTGAACATGTAAATACCAGGTGTAGAAGTATGAAACCGGAATTTTTTTATACAAATAAGACGTCTGTTGTTCGAAAGTGATAAATAATACTTTATTCAAAATAATTTCCACTGTTTTGAACACATTTTTCCCACCTCTCTGGCAGTTTATGAATGCCGTGCCAAAAAAACTTTTCATCTTTTGAAGCGAACCAGTTATCTAGCCATTTTTCCACATTTTCATACGAATCGAAGCGTTGGTTAGCGAGAGCGTGTCCTAGCGATGCGAACAGGTGATAATCGGACGGAGCCAAGTCTGGAGAATAAGCCGCATGCGGTAGTAATTCCCAACTGAACGACTCGATCGTTTCCTTGACCCGTTTTGCTGTATGTGATGGGGCATTATCATGGAGCAAAATGACATTGTGTTGCCTTTTTGCATATTCTGGTCGTTTTTTAGTCAATGTTCGATTTAAATCGATCATTTGTTGTTGGTAGCGATTAGTATTGACGGTTTGACCAGGTTTCAGCAGTTCATAGTTCATAGTTCATAGTTCATAGTTCTTCGTTCCTCACGTCAAAATCACCACTTTTGAATTTTTTAAACCACTCGAAACACTGAGATTTACCAAGAGCATATTCACCGTAAGCTTCGACAAGCATTCGATGTGATTCTGCAGCAGTTTTCTTTAAATGATAACAGAAAATCAATGCTGTCCGCAAATCATAGTTAGTAGGCTCGAAACGTGACATGTTTAAGGTTATACAAAAATATACTAGAGAATGAAAGTTGGGGTTATGTTTGTTGACAATATTCGTCAGCTGTTAGGAGAATATAATAGCGCGGCAGTAGCGGTCTTACGGTCACTAAACTGAACGCTGGCACCATTTATAGGGGAATTCCGGTTTCATACTTCTACACCTGGTACACGTTGGCGATATACGCGTAAATCTTGTTTTTACCTTCAGTTTAGTTTGAAATCTTCGGCAGAATAGCCTTAATATGCAGTGTAATCGTAGATTACTGGTATTTTATAAGTATATTATAAGTAAATTATAGGTATTTTATAAGTAAATTTATTTCTAAATATTAACGTAAAATTATAACGACCAATTACTGTTTTGACGCATTGTTCCCCTCGTTCCTTTGAAAAATCAATAAATAACATTGGTCTACAAAAAAGAATTTTTTTATAACTCAAATCATGTAATTTATATAGTAATTTTTACACTAAATTAAAAAATAGAAACAGATTTTTTCCTGCCACCTAGAGTTTTTCAGTGATATGGAAAATTTTTTTTTTTTTTCTTAATATCTCCAAGAATTTTTTTAAATTTTTAAAAATTAATTTTCTCTCTCTATGTACGGGATGTCTGACGATATATGTAAAAACTTTCGTGTACGTGTACATCAGATTAAACTAATTTGAAACGTTTCTTTATTATTTTGTAAACAGTTACATAAAATTTTGAGTTATTACAACACAAAATATTCTAGAATCATTCTGAGTATGTCCAAGATGTCTTGAGGACTGCTTTAGGATTTTTAAGTAAATCCAGAATAATTTCAATAACATTTTATACTGAGTAATTAAAGAAGATTAACAAATATGATCGTGGAAAATACGATGTACGGTATGACGCTAAGTACGATTTGCGTTGTGTATTTGCTAAAGAGATTCTTGATGTAAATTTACAAACATTTCCTAAACGCATTGAAGTCCAAAAAAGTTTCTGGTTACGTTCTTAACTTTAAATCTACTAATCTGTTACATATAATGACAATTTGAAAAATAAAAATCATGAAAATTTTATATACAGATTTTAATCTATTTTAAACATTATTTTATTTATAATAATATACAGAACATATATGATTATCTTCGTAACTGAATTACTCTTTTTTTGTATATTTTAATATACAATTTTGTATGTATATATTAATATAAATATATAATACTACATATTATATACTAATATACTATATATTAATTTTATATACATACAGAGTATGTATTTGTACATTATAGGGGTCAAACTAAACAAAAAAGTTTTCTAATATTTTATAAATAACTATGTATGTTTTAAGTTGTAATTTAAGAAGATTGGCGAACGATCGAGCTTGATGATCTTTTTGATGAACATGATTATATGACTCAATTTTCTTTAATTAATTTCTATAATTTAAAAATCTACATGGTTATTGAGAAAGTGATAAAGAGCCGTTTTGTTTAGTTTTACCTAAAGTACAAAAACACAACGCAAATCGTACTTATCGTCATTCTATATTGTATTCCACGCAATCGCCAATTTTCTTTAATTAAAAATTCAGAATGTTACGTTATTTATTTTAAAATTGTAGGTGAATTTTTTTTCAATTTGACCCAATCTATACGTATACGAGAATTTTATATGTGATTATCAAATACTCTGTATACAAACATGACCTATATGAGAGAAATATCTGAGAGAGCTTCAACAGCAGACTGATATGAAAAGAACAGACTGATGAAAAGTTAACAAACGAATATTTCCGATTAATTTTTATATCCCATGAAATTTGATAGGTACGTACCTGGCTCGTTTATTTCATCGGATTATTTTCATCGAATATCCTTCTTTTTGGTCAAGTATAATCTCTTATCGTCTGGTCGAATATTAGAAACGCTATATTTTTTTATTAGATTAAGCGCAATGTTCGACTAAGTCATGTTTTATCGGATAACACTTGATCGGATTTGCAAATTTGCAGCAAAAATCAAACAAAATCTGTAGAAATTTGATGTCACATTGCTAGCAGAAACTGAGCAGGCTCTACTATTGCAGAATCTACGCGTTTTTTGCTGCCAATCTGCACGTAGTTGTCTACCAGTAGACTTTGCTACCAAAACACGAACTGAATGTGGATACAGATGGTTATGGTTTAATTTTGATGTGGAATTCTGATTCAAATTTGCTGCCAATCTGCGCGCAGTTTGCGATTAATTTGCTTACTCCCAATGGGAGAATTTGTTTTAAATAGAAAAATCCTTTCATTGAACAAGACAGAAAGTTCACAGATTCATTCTAAAAATTATGGACAATCTTACTGAATATTAACTATTATAGTGTAACTATTATAGTTCCAGTTTCTTTAAATAATCAATAAATAATAAGTTAATACACATACACATACACATTATTAATGTGTATATAGAAAATTGTAATATCCTAGTTATACATTACCTGATAATATAAAATAAATTTGATTTCTTAAACAATTGCTACGATATATTAGTAATTGAAATAAATATAATCTTTAGTGTCTTTATCGGCCACCAAATGAGTGAATGCTATGTCTTAAAAAAAGTGCTATTTTAAAAAAAGTGCTATGTTAAAAAAAGTGCTATTTGAACAGTTTATTTATTTTTATAATAACTACGAATATAATATAAGAGATTTATTTGTTAACACTTCTGACAGTTATTTATGCAAATATTGCGTTTAACATTAAATTTTTTGTCTAAAACAAAAAGGTAATTCATATTTCACTTTCTCCTCTACACGTTGAAATTCCGACTGAAGTCGCTTCGATACGACTTCGTGCGTGTAATTAACGTGTTTACCGAAATTTTATTAGCTTTACTCGCACGACTATTAGTACTAATCAATGCACTTTGACGCTCGCAACATGTAACATTACGATATTATGAATACATAAGTTCGCGATAACAAACTCGTTACTTTCTCGTTTTCGCGAAACTATTTCGGTCAAACTTACCAACGGAACAAACAACAGTTCCGACGTACGAGCGTATATTTTTTATGCGAGCGTATGTTTGTTTTATAGTTAACGGTAGATTACGATGACAAGTGATCGTCTTTTAAGGCACAAGGTAATTATCTGCGACCTCGCGAAATTATCTTCGCAGATAAAGCCACGCTAATTATCATCAGCTGCAATACTTTGGTAAAACTACTGTACGAGACACATATATCTCTCTAGCCCTTCGTCTATAAATTAATATTCACAACGCCGCTCTTTACGCCGACCTTACTTTGCTCTCCAACCATAACCGATGAGAATGATTTATACCTGTACAAACGCCTCTTAATCACGTATAACTCATTATCTGATGAATTATCGAAGTAAGATATATTTATCAAAGTACATACAAAGTGCAAATAGCGCAAGAATTATGTTATTTAATATCAGCAAGAATTATGTTATTTAATATCATATTCTAGGAGTCGATATCAATTAAAATAGATATCTGCTTAAATCAATAACTTTAAATGAGAAATGAAAAATGAGAAGAAAAATAGTACAAGCTATATATAAACAGCTTCTCTCAGTATGCGACTAAAGTACGAGAATATGGTTAGTAAGAGTTAATTGTGGTTATTAGTGCAAATGTTTAAATTGTGAGGAGATAATAATTTCAACAATGTAATAACGCACTCACCGAGTATTTTTCCGGGCTTATCACTTATACATAAAAAAATATTTTATTGCAAACGATTATTCAGTTTGTTCTTTTTTCTTTCCTTCCTTTTTTAAATAATAATTATTTTCAGTAAATAATATTTGTTTGATAGTATATCTTAAAATATACTCGTCAAAAATTTTAGAAAAGCTATTATATATTCAGAAGAATTCATTTTCTTTATAAGAATATTATAAAATTTTGTGAAACCAAAAAATTATGGTTTCACTTCATATATAGTAAGCAAACCAAATTTTTATTTTAATTTCACTTTTTTTATTGAATTATTAAGCTTATTAAGATTTAGAACGAATTTTAAATAAATTTGATCCTTATGACGAATTTAGGTTAGATTTACAAATATATAAATATGAAATACTTCAAATAAGTAACATTTACTTAAATGTAGTATGTATTTTTCTGTGTGTAGGCAATGAATTTACCTTCCATGTTAAACGGACTCCATTTCAACTATTTATAATTATGCATTTTCCCTAAATGTCGAAAAGATAGTGTTAGTCAATCGACAACGCGATCTTAGACCAAACTAACGCTTTCACATTTTCTAATATTGAACCATACAGAAATTATCACCGAAATTAAAGGAAGACATCCAGTAGTTGGCCATATGTCTCTCAGATAGCAGGGAGAATTCATGTTTATGTCGTCAATTCTGGGTTCTTTTCAGATGCAAAAAGAATTCTTTTTATAAAAATTCTTTTTGTATCTGAAACGGGATTGGTAACACATAAAAATGAAATAAATTCTAATGAATTTTTTTTGAATTCTCTATGCTATCTGGTTTGTTTTCATTACTTTTGTGCGGATATCATCAAATAGTAAAGAATATGGGAATTGAAAAGAAAATAACTAATAATAAATAACTGATATTAATTGATAATAAATAAATAATTAATAAATTCTGATTCTCCCTCTCACACACATCTAAATACTTGATAAGATTCAAGCAAGAGTATCGAAAATATAAACATAATGAATGTCGGTTACTGCACATTTTTCCCTACTATATACTTATTTAAAAATGTTACTGTACGTTTGACTTTTTCCTATAAAATTATTGTAATTACTTAAACATCTTTTTATATCGTATATTCTGTAGACTAACATCTACTATTTCTATATACTATTTCTATCTTCTATTACTATCTACTATTTCTATATACTGAGCAACAAAGTGGTTAAGTTAATGAAATTTTACTTGAACAAATTCTGTTCATTCAAGCAAACATTTAATCTCTTGAACAAATTATATTGTTGCTGCGACGAGAGGGGGAGAGGGAGAGAGAGAGAGAGAGGAGTTATCAATTAATTAAATTGTCGTGAATTAGTCAGTAATTTTATCAGCGCAATTTATTGTTACTCTAATGCGTAATTTGTTTAATAGACACAATATTTCTTTGAAGGCGGGTGATCACAGATTTAGTATATCAAGCGACACGGTAGTGTCGTTGCGAAGCCAAGTGCAAGCGCGAAGCAACGCGGCCTACCGTGTATAATTACGCACCGGCTTTAGTTGAATGTAGATTAAATTCTTATTTCGGCTATAACGGTTGAATTGACGAAGTCAATTCTTGAGGAACTTAATTGATTCCTTGGGTTTACATTACATAATAAAACTGTCTTTACTTTTGCTCTACGTGCTCCAGAAGTTGAGCTATCTTAGCTCAAAGTCTGAAATAATATGTATTAATACAGTCCAGCTTTATAAAAAATATTGTGAAATGAAAATAATATAATTTTAACGTAATTTTTACTAAAATATGTTCTCCGTGTAATTGTTACGCATTTAAGAATTGATAAATTAAAAGTTGAACTCTAGAAAAAAATTCTATTAGTACGTCGTCGTCAGTGATGCGTGAAGCGCGCGATTAGACAGAATTAATTGCCGCGGAAAGATTCGCGTGACAATTTTCCATATCGCGGAAACGTATCCCGTTCACTTCGGTCTTCCACTTCCATTGTTATCTCACTCCGTCTTCCTGCCCCTCTTCCTCCCGTTCATTCGCCGCGCCCGTCATTCCGCTTCCTGTGCCGTTTGTGGACAACGAGAGAACCCCCAAGAGATTTTTGCTACAGTATTGCTCGGTGCTGCCTCGCGTTTTTCTAGCTTAAACGTAAGTTTTCTTCGCACGGTGGAAGTGGGGGAATGAGCGCGTAGAGCAGGACGATGAATCACGTGGTTTTATTATTTCGCAGACCGGATGTGTGTACCGACGATGGTTTTGAAGCTACAAAAGCCCAACGTCTTATTCTCGACCAGTTCACTCGTCGATCGTCAGCTGATCTGTGAAGGTAGTTTCGAGTGGCGCGTCCGTATCTCTTGTCCGACAGACCTCGCCGAGACCGTTGTTACGTGTCTCGTCGTATTGTCAAAAAGGTCGACCGGCTGGATTATGGGTGCGCGCTGCTGATCACTGTGAATTAATATAGTGGAAGATATATATATCCGAATATATATATGTATATGTCAGTCGGAGCGAGCGAATCGATGAAGATGTCTGTGTCTGCGTTTTCAACGTCTACGACCTTTTCATGAAGTGAACGAACAGACGACAATGTTGATCAATAATGTGGACTACGAGAAAATAAAGGGCTGCGCGTCAGGTAAGGCAGATCGAATGGCATTGGCCTAATCATATATAAAGTAAATATTCACTAAATAGCCGAATATTTAACAGCGCAATGCTACGATTACTTATTTTTATAAAGATATATAATATTTAATGATGTAAATATACAGGATGCCCCAGACTTCCCTCCGCAATTTTTGTGGCAACATAGAACGGATTGAGATAAAACTCCTAACGTCTTGCGATATTCGCAATAATAGTCGAGATATTAATTTAAGAATATTAGTGAATGTGTGCTGTTATGTGCTTGTATCAACCCAAGTAGACGGATAATCAAAATAATGTCAATCTCACGTCATTTTCACGCAATAAATCTTGAGATATTAGTTAAAGAAGATTAGTGAATGATCACGCGCGATATGGTAGATAAGCTGTAGTGGCGTAATTGAATACTTATACATTAGGTCAAACTGAACAAAAAGATGCTTTATTTTGCAAATGACCACATAGATTTTTACATATTAATTAAAGAAGATTTGTGCATTATCATGCACAATCATATAACGATTTTCTTTCATTAATAATTAAAAATCTACATGGTTATTTACAAAATAATAAAGAGCTTTTTTATTCAATTTCCCAGATAGAATAGAATAGAATAAGCGTCAATCTAACGTTATTTTGACCAAATATTAATCAAATTTATATCATTTTTTCGTGAAAATGACGTGAGATTTACATTATATTAATTATCTGTTCTACCTGGGTTGACCCAATATACAAGCTCACAACAATACACATATTCATATTCATAAAGTAATATCTCGACCAGTGGCGTAGCCAGGGGAGGGGCTGAGGGGGCTGCAGCCACCCTCGAAATTAATTTTCTGGATTACGCTAAGTGTGAGAAAAATTTTTTCGAATGACCTTTTTTGCTCGTCAAAAATAAAAAGTACAGCCCCCCTGAAACTTTTTTCTGGCCACGCCACTGATCTCGACTATTATTACGAATATCATAAAACAGTATGGGATTTTTATGTTCATTTCAATCCGTTCTACGTTCCTACAAAACTTGCGAAAGAGAGTCTGGGACATTCTATGTAATTAATTGAAAACTGTATATAATATGAAATACTAAAATGAATCATTAAGATATAAAAGATATAAAAAATTTTTTAAATTATTCCAAAAATAATCAAAATTTATAGTAAAATCATAGTAAGTATAGTAAATTTACAGTAATTAAAAAGTATAGTAATGTACCAATACCCGGACAATTGTCCCGATTGCTAAACTCTGTTGACTCAATATGCGAACATGATTATTCTACAAATAAAATCTTTATATTTTGATTAATTTTTATTGAGCTTTAAATTAAATTTTTTTAAGCTTTGTTCTTACTGACTATTTAAGACTGTTCTATAGTAATATAGTAATTATTTTATTAAACATTTTTATAAATTCTATGTCTCATATAAGGCAGGGTTGGGAACGTTACTTTTTAAAAGTAACGCGTTACCGTTACCGTTACTTGCGGTAAAAAGTAATTCGTTACCGTTACTCGTTACTGATTCTAAAAAGTAACGCGTTACCGTTACCGTTACTTGCGGTAAAAAGTAATTCGTTACCGTTATTCGTTACTGATTCTATAAAGTAACGCGTTATCGTTATTTGAAAAGTAACGGTAAAAAAATCGTTACTTTCCGTTACTTTTGTAAAAAAAAAAAGTTAAAATCGGCTTATAAAACGAATAGTAAGAGAAACAGTAGATAAATTATACATATATAAAGATAAAATGTAAGATATTTAAGCAGAAAGCATACATTCTTGCATAACGACATAAAGCCCATTCTACATTAGTCGCAAATCGCAAGGTCGCAAAGAAATTGACTAATCATAGTCGATTGTTCTTCTTGCGATTGAAGAATAATCAATTATGATTGGTCAATTTCTTTGCGATTTTACAATTGCGAGTAATGTAGAATGGGCTTTAAGGGCGCCGCATACGAATTGACATAACAGTAACGTAAGACGTACCGTAAAAATGGACCAATTACAATCGAGTATTCACAAAAATGGCGACCTTACGGTTCGACGATACTTAAAGTGATTGGTCAGTTCTTACGGTACGTTACTGTTATGTCAATTCGTGTGCGGCGCCCCTTAAGCGTGGTCTACAATGAGAACTTAAGCCATAAAGTTCAAGCTTTAAGTCCTAAGCTGTAAGAAGTTGATCAATCACAGTCAATTATAAGAAAAATAATTGACTGTGACTGGTCAATTTCTTACGGCTTAGAGCTTAAAGCTTAAATTTTATGGCTTAAGTTCTCATTGTAGGCCACGCTTTAGAGGCTTTCTACAATAAGCAATAAGTTTTAAGTTGCAATAAAATTGACCAATTACAGTAGATTATTTTTCTAATAGTCGACTATGATTGGTCAATTTTACTATGACTTAAGATTTATTGCTTATTGTAGAATGGGCTTTACGGAAAGCAGCATTAATTGTTTATCGTGTACAAACTTTCGTCGCGTGGCAAGCGTTGCCGCGTTCTGTGTACAGAAGTCACTATAGTAAAAAAGTAACGATACAAGTAACGATGAATTTCGTTACTCGTTACTAAAAAAAATGTAACACCGTTACTTTTTCGTTACTGATACAAAAAAGTAACGGCGTTACTAAATCGTTACCAAAAAAAGGTAACGAAATAGTAACGTCGTTACAAGTAACGCGTTACTTCTCAATCCTGATATAAGGTAACAATTATATACTTTTCCACTTACAAACTGTTTAGTTAATTTTCATAATTTGTTTTACCTTTTATATTTTTTCTTTTATGTTTGTTTAATTTGTTTTGCCTCTTATTTTTTTGTTTTTACTTTTTCATTAAATCTGTTTTTTTCACTCTCATTACAATGGAATACTCTGGACGAATCAATATCGATAAGATTTTTTTGCAAATATACATGTACTTCACCAAATCAGTTTCTTAAGGGGTTACACCACTCTAGCGTCCGAAAATTAAGCGTATTTTTGGGAATTTTTGGTGACAAACAAAGAAATAAATTGAAAATTAGTTTAGGAGGCTTTATTGTACATGTTTTAAAGTGTATATTCAAATTTTTATGTTAACATATATTACAAAATAGCGGTGCTAGAGCCTTGTCAACATGAGCGTGTTTTTCGGAACGGGGTTCGGCATAAATGTCGCAAATGTTGATCTAGAACAAAAAATAAAAAATTTCCGTTATCTATGTGCCAATAGCTAGAAAAGTACGTATATAGAGGATTTTTTAAATATTTATTTTTATAGAAATGGCACGTATTTGAAGAAAAATTTCATTTTGTACCCTAAAATTTCGTCGAAAATTGTTTATAAAATGCGTAATATATAAAAAATTCCCTACGTGCTTTTATAGCTATTGGCATGTGAATGACGGAAAATTTTAGTTTTTTATTCGAGATCAACATTTGCGACATTTATGTTGCAAGCACCGGAGCCCCGTTCTGCTCATGTTGACAAAGCTCTAGCATCGCTATTTTTTAATGTATGTTAACATAAAAATTTGAATAAATACTTTAAAACATGTACAATAAAATCTTCCAAATGGATTTTTTTATTCATTTCTTTGTTTGTCCACAAAAAATTCTCAAAAATACGCTTAATTTTCGGACGCTAGAATAATATCCGAAAATTCTTTAAAACATTCTCTGTAGCTGAAACACAAGTACGTGCCAAATTCTAAGCCGTTCTAACACATAATTCTGGATGACGTTTAAAGAAATTGTTATACCAAAACTTGTCAGGCTTGTTATTTTGAAAGGCGTTTTTTACTTCGATTCAGTTAATGATAAATGCAATTCAAGCAATTGAGTCTTAGTATTTAGTAATTAGGAAATTTCTATTATAGCAGTACATTATCCATCCAACTATTTTTAATTCTTTACTTAAAATAGTTATTGGTCCTTTAAAACAGTCGATGCAGTAGATGTTCTTTAATTTACAATAAAGAGTGTTGCTTAGTATGTTATATTTTCTCGTTGCTTCTCTTAACATATACTCATAGCACATTTTTCATATGTTCCAAAGCAGCATTCACGTCTTTTGGACATATCTTGGATTCTTCTTATCATCCTTATGATGCTAAGAAAAGCCATAACTCATGTAGTATTAATGAAAATAACATTACAAGGTTATATGATAGAGGTTATATGATTTAAACATACATTTTCAAAGCACTAGAATATTTACTTATTTTTTAAACTAATGACAATACTATTAAGTAAGCTTATTTATAAAAGTACTTACGAAATTAATCTTAATAGCATTTTTTCTTCAGTTCGTTTATTGGTACTCGTAAGTACATGTGTAATTAAAGGAAGTTGCACCGGTATTTGAACATGTGACCGATTACTAGGCAATCACGAAATTACTGAATGAGTAGCGAAATTCACAAGATTTACTAATAATTTTTTATTAACTAAACGCATTCTTATAATTATTCTTTACTATTGTCGGGTTGAATAATATAATGTTTATAAGAAAAAAGTACAAGGTAAACAAGAAATGTCTTAACAAATAAAAAACTTTTTAAGAAAACGTTAAGAACATCGTCAAAGGATGTCCTGCATTATGTAATTATATTATAATTTTCTTGTTTTTTGGACATTAATTTTTATAACACTTCAATATTTCACCATGTAAATAATTTTGAATATTGACAGATTTCAATTAAATTAATATTAATAATGTACTAGAAAAAATATTTGTGTGAGGTTAATAATGATAAGTTTCCATTAATAATGATATGTTCGGATATTGGAACATGTCCGGCAATTGATACATTTACCTTTACGTATTTTTTTGCAAAATGACATAATACATTTTTGTTCAGTTTTATTTAATCTTTAAGTATATGAGTGTAGGCGTTGTTATTACAGCTGCCGTATCGTGCACATCATTTGCCAATAATTTTCTTCAATTAAAAACTCAAAATTTGACATGTTTGTTTGTAAAATGGTAGAGGAATTTTG